TTCAAGACTTCAAGACTTCAAAAGACTTCAACAGACTTCAACAGACTTCACTCGCTGTGACTTCATCTTTTCACAAGACTTCGAAAGACTTCTAAAGACTTCTGAAAACTTCATAGGACTTCAAATGACTTCGCAAGACTTCATAAGACTTCGTATGACTTCATGGGACTTCATAGGACTTCAAAAAACTTTGAAAGACTTCGTTAGACTTCACAGACTTCGTGAGACTTCAGGGACTTCATGAGACTTCACGGATTTCCTGAGACTTCAGAGACTTTGTAAGACTTCTTGAGACTTTATAAGACTTCATCAGACTTCACAAGACTTTATAAAACTTCACAAGACTTCACAAGACTTCAGAAGACTTCAGAAGACTTCAGAAGACTTCAGAAGACTTCAGAAGACTTCATAGGACTTCAAGAGGCAGATTCCATGCGTATCAAAAAATCTTATACAAATTACATGAAACCTCTATAACATGCAAAAAAACAAAACTTATCAAATAGTAGGGGTGTCATTTACCGTTTACTTTATAATAAATATAAATTATTTATCATTTAATTTACGCGTAAATTAAATGGAAAGTAAATATAAATTGACACCCTTATTCATAACAGAGTAACTAGTGTCTTCCGAGAACCACGAACGGGAATGATATTGAAAATTTATTGCTCCCAAAAGTCTGTTTTGTGGAACTCACGTATATTTTCGAAGAAAATAGTGAGTGTACGTTTTCAGTTCGAGGTTTGATGACTCTCTCTCCCCCCACCCCATTATAGACACTTAGCAACGGAGAAAGAGAACATTACAGACATACCCCTCCCCCATTACAGCCCTTAGCAACGAGGATTAAATAATGGTGAAAATATTATTTTAGCTGCATTTAATCGTGCAAAAGAACTAGTTAGTAATTTGAATATATTACCTTCATTAAAGAAATGCAATGCTTGAAAACTTAATAGTTTAAGTAAAAATATATTTGATAGTATTAGATTCAACATTAATTCGGATACTTATTCGGCAACGGATGCAGATTCTTCATCAGATTCTGAATCTGATTATGATGATGAAACAATGGAAAGTAATGAGTTTAATAGTGATCTAATCAATGTGGATGAAGAAGATAAAGATGCGGCAACGACACAAAGTGTTGATGAAATTAAAACTGAGAAAATACATTTTACTGGTATGCGTATATTTGATTCGATCAATCCAGCAATGAAAAACTCCTATTTTCAAGTGCAAATAAATAACAAGACTAAATTTATACACAAGCAAACGGCTTGTTGATTATTAACTGACAAAGCTAGCCGTTTATCGGCTGATAGATTATCACGAGTGATAGAAACAAACAAAAAGGATTAAAATTCTTCATCAGATTGATTTGGATAGATAAAACATTTCTTATAAAAATAAAACACTTCATTCAAAAAGATTCAGTTATTAACTATTACGTTTACTAAGACCAAACAAGCTTGAATTTTTTCCAGCACATTGAAAAAAAAACAATAAATAGTTCACCTTTCTGCTAAAATAAAATCGTCGAAAACAAGACAATTTCATTGGTTTCTTATGAATTTTCATGCACTAAATGTATTTCAAAACTTTCAAAAGAATTCATGAGACTTCATTAGATTTCATGAGACTTCAAGAGACTTCAAGAGACTTCAAGAGACTTCAAGTGACGTCAAGAGACTTCATGAGACTTCATGAGACTTCATGAGATTTCAAGAGACTTCAAAGACTTCAGAGACTTTATGAGACTTTATGATAATTCATAAGACTTCAAAAGACTTCAAGAGACTTCAGAAGACTTCAAAAGACTTACAAGACTTCATGAGACTTCACGGCTGAAGTCTCTGCTGGTTCCCCCTTGCCCACACCCACACCCACACCCACACCCACACCCACACCCACACCCTCACACCCACAATCAACACCAACTGGAAACCATAAAAATCAATCTCCAAACGCATCAATATACACACAGCGTGTAATGCGTCAACCATCAACAGACATGGAAATTCATTCACCATCTATAGTTTCAAAAGATAAAGACATAGAAAAACTGCATTCTTTTGACTTTCCTATCATACCATTTGAATGCAAATACATTCTTGGTAATAGCTGCAATGCAGAATCGATAAAGAAGCATCGTACCTTTCTAGAAAAAACAGCACAACAAATGGAAACAAAGTTGAACGATGAAATGAGCAATATACCAATAGGACAAGGACGCATACTTAAACAATACATCATCAATAACATTGATCCACTCATAGAGAGTTTCAAAGAGAAAAATTGCAAACGTCTTGATAATTTGGTTCTAGATCTAATGAAAGAGAAAGCCTGCGAGAAATAAAAAACAAGTGTGAGACATATGAACTTGAAAAAATAAAGAAACTAGAAGAGCAATACATGAGAATCTTGAATCTAGAATTTCAACATAAAAAATTAGAGAAACGAATGAATTTGAATATGCCATCTCCTTATCTGAATGCCATTGATAAATTACAATTACATAGCAAAGTATTAGAAAAGAATGAGATAGAACAATTCACAGAACAATGGAACAATATAATTCGACATGCAAAGAAAGATTTTACATAGATCATGATAATGGCAAAAGTTGCCGAAATTGAAAAAGTAGAAAAAAATTATAAAGAATCACTAGAAACACTGCCAGAAGATATTCGAGAACAATTTGATGTTCTAATTCATACAATTAAGACAAGGCAAGATCAGACTGTAGAAAAAAAGATTCATTTTTTAGAACAAAAAGCCTACAGAATGAGAAAAACATGATAAAATCAAAGAATCAGAAAAAAATGCACCCACATTACACTGCTCTTGCTTATCCACCTCAAATTAATAATAAAGCATTACTATTGACAGATGCAGAACGTAGAATCTTGAATTACGGTCCTAAATTTGTTCCACAAAATCCAAAGCAGACTTTGCAACGATTAGAAAATGAAATTGATGTAATGAAAGAAAAGGTAGCAGCCGCATGGCGACGAAAAACAAGAACGGTAGGTAGAAATCTAGAAATAGTGAATCGTTTTTGCGAACGTATTGAAAAGGAAGTCCGAACAGCTATATCAAAGGAAAAGATAGCAGATCCAAAAATGCTAAAGATATTAGGAAATTTAAAAAAAGCTCAAAAAGAACAAAAAGTCGTTTTTCGACAAACCGACAAATCTAAAGTATTTCATCTAGGAAATCCTGAAGTATACATAAAAAAATCAGCACAATACATGTCGAAGATGAATGCTTATAAAGAAATTGATAAGTCACCTCTAGAAGATATGATCAACAATACGGAAGAACTATTACTCGATTTGATACGAAGAAAACTTTTACCATCTAAATATCTAGAAAAATTACGACCATCTAGAAATGAATCAGAACTTCCACACCTCTACTATAATCCCAAAGATCACAAAATTGGAGAGCCACTACGTCCGATTGTAGCAGGAATAAAGTCACCTACTTCAAAAATTTCATCTTTCCTTGACCAGATATTAAGACCGATCTTTAACAAGGTAACACCTTATAGTTTAAGCAATTCAATTGATCTTTTGAACGATTTAAAAACATTCCAAACAAATGAAAAGACAAAATTGTATACATTTGACATAAGTGACCTATATACATCGATACCACAACACGAGGCAGTGATGGCTATTTGTGAAATGTTCGGACAACATAACATTCGTAAGGTCAACGGCGACATTCCGATCAACACAATTCGTATCCTATTAAAACATATATTGAATAATTCTTATTTCACACTTCAATTACCAGAACAATCACCAAGATTCTATCAACAAACGAGAGGAGGCGCAATGGGGTCAGCTTGCACCCAAGTTCTAGCTGATGTTTATATTAAAAAATGGGAAAAGTCTCTCGTTGAACAACAAGAAAAAGAAAAAGAGTTATACCGTAGATTTCGAGATGATGTATTCCTAACTACTCAAAAGACAGTCGAAGAAATGAATGAAATACTCACTGACTTAGGAAAGAAAGATCCGAACATACAGATTACTTTTGAAACAGGTCAAACGATCGATTATCTAGATGTCCAAATTACCATTGAGATACCCAATTTTCGAACCATAGTCTACCGAAAACTAGCCACACAACCATACATACTTCCGTTTCATTCCTCACACCCAGTACATATCTTTAAAAATATACCATTCTCAGCAATACTTAGAGCAACTCGCATATACTCCCGTGCAGAAGATTTGAAACAAGAAATTCAAA